ACACCACTTGTCTGCTTCAGCAGTCTCTTACAGAAGATGGGTTACTTCAATTTGTGTAAGCCAAATGCAAATGCAGGAAAAACATTAAACCCATTAAGACTCATAAAAGGGAAAGGATGCAAACAAAGCGACTTCCACAGAGGAATGTTTTAAAATTATAGGTTATGTTCTTCAGACTCTTGCTTCTAAAGCCAACAAAACATCTATTAAATCCCAATGAAATCAGGAACTGGAGTTTGTCTGCTGTAAATTCTGTAGTGCACCAATAAAATAAATATTTTGATTGGATCTGCAAGGGAAGATCACCAAGTTAGATTTTTTAACACAAAATATGCTCCATTGTCTTCATCAAAATTACTTGGCAGAATGATTAATCACAAAGTAAATCTGACTATGGGAAAAAAATCCAACAAGCTATGCATGAAAAATGAGATTACAGCATCAGAACTAAGGTTATTGAGAATATGCTGACCACAACATCATTTTAATGTTAGCTGCAATAATGCATGTTTTATATTTCCCCCTCTTCCTTTTTGCATCGTGCATCATTCAACAGGACAAAGTCCAGAATTCACTTTACTATTTTCATTAGCCTTCCCCTCTTTGTTTATACTTTGATTGCAAGCATTATGGGACTTTGGATCCCCAATGCAAAATCTGAGATCTTAATTTTGTTGCTACAGATAGGATCATAGGCATGTTTATAGTCTTTCAGTTCTTTGGGTTGTGGTGAGAAGCCCTCATGAAAGTCCTTGGGGAGAAAGTGATAAATGAAAGTGTGCCATTTTATTCTCTAGATTTACTCAGATGCTAAATCTGTACATGTACAGGCATGGGTTCATAGTAGTCTAATCTCACAAAGAATCTTTACCCTACTAAGTAAAACATAGAAAAAAGAAAGTAACTGAAGAAATGTGGTATCACTCTGGACAACTCACTCACATCTCCGCACATAAAGGATAAACAATGGAAAATTAAAGAAAGTTGAATCGCACTGTGGGTCAGGTGGGTGAAGATGTTTAAACGGGGGAAAGGGCTTAAATTGTACAATATTGTACTCTAGGGCTGAAGAATCCTCTAAACTAGAAAGAGAAAAGAGGAAAGTTTCAGAAAATAAGTTTTGCATGCCCAGAGTTTCTATCACTATGAGCAATAGTAAAATACATTATTTCAGCAGCATCTTACACATTCTTAACAGAGAAGAAGAGCTCACTAGATTTGTGACGGGGCAGCCCCTCCCCGCCCAGAGCCACGCCGAACAGGCGCTGCTCGGCGTTCGGGGGGGGGG